TGACTGGGCACTTCGGGTAACCTCTCACTCTTTCAGCACCACAACCCATAGGCTAGACCTTAAATAACGGTTTCAGCAAGATCGTTTCAAAATGTTCTATCCGATCAATTAAATATCGTAAACTACCAGTTTGTTTCTCTGTTGAATGCTGGACAAACAGACTTCACCTAGGTGGTAGGTGTTTAAAAACTGTCCCAGCACAAAGAGAAACATTTAAGAAGCACTTGAAACAATCTCTAGTAAGAACATACGCATTCATTAAACAGATGTCTATTAAAACCTATGCCAATCATAAACAACAGAACTTGCCGAACGGAAAGTCTTCAATGGAGGTATTGATACAGGAATTCATTTAAACAGCGGCAAGTAAAGCCACAAAACTCGATGGTTGAAGAGCATATACAGGCTGACATCTGCGGTTAGACACGGCAAGCAAACGTTTTTCACTGAATGAAGGGTGTGAAAAAAATAGACGAATTGTGTCTACCTATTTCACGCTCATCCGGAGGATTGCGTGCAAGGTGACATTTAAGGTTCCACAGCTCAGTTTGTGAACATTCTCTAGGTAGCTACAGATAGTTTACAAACTACATCAAAGTTGTTTGTTCAGGCTGGCTCACAACGCTTGTTAGCTTCACGGCTCAGTTCGTTTCAACAACCCATATGAGCTGCAGTCAGCTGCTCTTTAAGACCCGTAGAATCACATCCAAGATCACAGGAAATTTTATCAGCACCATATGACCAGAAAAATAAAGAGCATCTTTGGGCTAGTTGACCTGGAGCCTGTTGTGTTCACTGCTTTTGGGGCCCCTGAGTAAACTGTTTGCAAAAAAGCTGATTTGACGCAGCCTGATTCCATAGAAATGGGTTTACTATAGCCTTCCGAATTAAATTGTTGTCGGCACTTGAAAGTGGTGGGCACAACATAAAAATACATGCTTTTTGTGTCGAGTTTTCTAGAAAGACAGAACAAGAATTTGGAGAAGTATTCCTCCAACTCGGTGCTGTTTTCTGGACAGATCGATGGGTTACTTATTTTTGAGGTTGTTGCACACCGGTTCCTAAAAACCGAATTCTGTTGATTTTTAAGCGAAATTTCCTAGTCATGATTTTGTAGTGAGCTGGTTGCGAGGCCTCTGAGGTATCATCATCATTTGGGAAACAACAAGGTCGTTTAGTATTCACTCAGTTTATTGTGAAAGCCGCAACCACAGTTTCAACAATAATGGTATAGTTTTTCTTGCTTTGAATGTGTTCATCTCCGTTTGTCGCAGTTCTAGCTTATCCAAAGACGTTGCTGCCTGAGCGATACCAATAGAATATCGGTTATTCCATAAATGTTTTACAGAAGAATGCTGCTACGAGAGAGTTTTCAGACAACACTAATTCATCAACCAACCGCACCGCGCAGTAATGGTTTATCCCAGGATTCGTGCGTCATCGACAACGGATTCTGACATTTTTTATGTGTACGCCCATCTAAGGCCATCGTCTAACCTCCGATTTGCAAGAGCGAATCAACCGGTTTTGATCAAACCACGCTTTCCTATCTCACATTGTGTACTATACTTTGATCGCCTGAGTGTTGTTATTAATGGGAATGTATGGTCAGTCAAACACTTAGTTGATTTGTTTTGCAAGGAATGCTCCACCCAGCTGCGAAATTTCGGGAAGTATCTGATAAAGTTATGACACTCAAAGTCAGTGACCTTTATCGGGTGATACCAATATCCTTCTGCCATCCATCTAGTGACGGAATTACAAAACATATTAGGCGTGATCCGCGAATAAAATGGCTTAATACCTCCTAATTAGCCAGAGGTCAAGCAAAAATGACATAGTAACAGTATATCTTGTCCACGGGATGAGTTTAAAGCAACAAAGGGCGCACTTATCATTAAAAAATAATTGTACATTCTATCTGTAGCCGTTTTAGCAGAAACTTACAAAATACCAAGCTGTCGAATAAATTTTAGTTGGCTTTGGGATAGACGGTAGCAGACCATATTTCTTTTAGAAGCCCCACATAGCAAGACCGGACGAATGTAATCTCCGGCTAGGTCGGTTGCCAAAGTGAATCATTAGACATGGAGTTTTATGTTCTACCGCGCTGCACAACAGCTGTCCGTTTTTCTTGACATTCGTATGTTAAGTGAAGTTGCAGGTTCAGCAACACGCATCAATATCTCCAAAAGAATGTAGTAAAGACTGCAAAGTCTAGATGGTCGTGTGAAATAAATTGGCCACCTTGTTATTCCACCTTCAGTAGAACGCAAACTTACATTACAACATGAAAACAATACATTCCTCCGGTGAACGATGTTCCTTTTATTACAGTCGTGAAAAGGCTATGTCACTTCTTACGATTCCTCGGTAAAACGACTGCAGTTATTCACCATGGTTGCTGATATGCATGTACGTTATTTTGCACAGTTCCAACAGTATTGTTTTTGTACTCTTGCCAGGTATCGCACTTCACGGTAGTCACTTTACCAGTCCGCATATCCGAAAAAAAACGTGAAAATCGCTAAAGTCGAGAACGCTGATCTTTCGTTGTTTGAGTTTTACTGCTTTTATCAGAATAATGATTGTAGAACAACAGTTATCCCGCCAAACGCCGCTAAACACGGGGTATAATACACACCAAAAACAGTTCTGAGGGGCTAAATGTCCCCACCCGCCGTTTTTACTCACACGCCGTACTTGGTTCACTTAAAGGTGTCCACATCAAAACAAATGATAAAATGCAGTTTTCCAGTAATTAGGAAAACACTATGAGTACGAGTGGAGATAAAGAATTACGCGTCGTTGCCCTCAATCTATTTTGAATTCTCTGCGCTAATTTTAGAGTTCTAAAACAATAAAAACGACAGCAATCGTAGCTTGCGAGATAAACCTTCCCGAATAGTTTGGTTAACTCTCATTGGATTCCTGTAATAAAAAGAGTAGAAACCACACATATCTGCATAGAATTCTGTGCACGTTTGCACTGCCGTCATGTGTTCGTTGGAGACGCAATATTTTGGCGAAAGGAAGAGGCCAGAGCGCTGTGTCAGGGCTACATAATGCAGTCATACAGACGAAAGAAATCCATGTTTTATGCTGTGATTCGACATTTTGATCACCAAAAACCTTCTCAGCTCTGACGGAGTGACGAAACAAACTAAAGACTACCCAATCACACAAACGTCCCTATTGGTCAGTTTTGTTACCGACACAAGAAATTAGATGTAATAGAAAATGAATATGCGCTGGCAGATACTTACACGGAGATTAGGCTAGTGTTGTCGATAAACCCCATCGACTCCAAGAGAAAGCTCTTCTTCAGTAATTGATTAGGTATGTTGCAACGAAGTGCCTCGTGTTCACGCTGGAAATGTTCTCCTTGATGTAACATTACTGGTAATGTTAAAGAAAATTTGGGATGACCTAATGCTGGTTCAGTTCTTTTTACGACTCACTAGACTGGTATGGCCTGTGTGTCATCCAGACATTTCAAGTTAAACTCATATTGGATGCATGTGGAGATGACCCATTATTGGCAAATTTGGATGGTATGAACGGAAAAACAATTGATTCTTGGCTGAACTCAGCTTTAATGGAAGCCACATTAGTATTTGGTAGGTTCTTATGAGATTTACGTTCTTTGAATAGACATTGACCTGGGGCTCATAGTAAAAAAAATGAGTGTCTTTAAGTTTTAGTTACATGAGGTTAGGTGTTCACTCCAAAAACCGAAAGAAAACGGAGATGGGCTGTCCAGAGGCTTTGATGCGCTTTGTGTGTCGCCAGTCAAGAAGTTAAGCCATTTATTGATACATGTAACCTTCTGGATCATTCAGAGCATGACTTACTTGACAGCGATAACTTACTCAGGAACCTGTCTGAACTATCTGGTGATGAATGCAAACGGCTTAAAACTAGGTTTGCAAAACCTTCGGCTCCCGAATTTACGACCAATTGGTTCGTGTTACAACTGACTTATCTGGCTGACTACCAGCGATTAATCGCTATCCGTATTTCGCCATAATTTGAGGTTAGTGAAACCCACTGATCCAACCCACTTACAGTATGAATTCTCTATACAAATCCTAGGTTAGTCGTTTTAATCAAACAGCCTCGGCGAAATAGTCCGTGCTCCCAGAAAATGTGTGCATTCAACAACAAAATGCACAGAGCGTCATCGAACACCAGCAACCTCGGTCTGATTTGACTAGCTTCTTATCGGTTGATACAGCGAAAAGAAACGCAACTGGCACAGTCAGCTTGGGCTCTTAACATGATGAGACAAATATATAAATCCAGGACGGTTGCCTTATTCAAATAAACCCTGAAAACTCATTGCAAAACACCTTTGGCTTCTGCAACATTTACATGGGAATGTATGTGAGACCTGCAGGACTCCATTTCTCGTACCGTTTGGGTGAGTCATCTCAGTCGTTCGGACAACTGGCACCGTACAACAGCATCTGTGTTTCGTGATGCTTTAGACGAATAACTTGCACTGAACCGTGACAAACAATGGGTCTTTTGTACAAGTGAACTAAGACAATCGACGTAATTTACCTATTTCTACCACATATGATGTGCAACCTTATGACTCTGTGTCCCGTTCCCGTGAGTGTCGAACTTTAGTGGATTACATCAAAGAAATGTTTGTGGGAGATAGATTATTGTGTATTTCAGTGGACGGTTGAACAAAAATACAGATTAACTAGCCTCGTTTGTGGATGAACAGCCTACTGGATAGTTTAACTGGAATTTTGGCTTTCTGTGCATAACTTTTCCAGTCTTCACCCAGTCACAGACTAACGGAGTCTCCTCAAATCCTCGAGTTCTCGCCGTTCTCAGGGGCAAAAGGTTACAGTATAAAAATAGAGGAAATAGTTTGTATTCTCATCTCGGATCTTGTCCTATGTGGTTGAAAAAAAACGCAAAAAGTGCGACTGCACTCTTTTCGTATGTACATTCCTAGAGAGTGAATTAAAACAGTAAGTTAGTCATCTTTGTTCACATTTGGACTGTAAATTCAGTAGTGACCACCCTTGGCGCAGTTGCTCGGGAGAACTATATCCGTGAGCTGAGATGAAATTTTGGTCAGTTGTGTAGCTAGGTTTGGCAAACAAGTGTATTCCATCCAGATGTACTGGATTAATGCCCAATTTATGTAATATTATTCCGAGCAGAACGTCGTCAATATACAGGTATGCTGTGTACGGCATAACAGTGGACAGCAGTTTTACCATAGGCATGCTAATAATGATTGTACCGCCGGTAGGATAGTCTGGATAGATGTAAAAGGGATATGCATTGTAGGGTACATACCATTTTGAAAAAGGGGATCGACGTGGCTGAGCTAAGCTTATCACATCACCAGCAATATAAATGGGATACTGGAATTCGGTCACCTGATTTATTGTCTTGATCAGGTTAACGGGGTGAACCAAGAAGTCGTCGTCCAATATGACTACAAAACGAGCCATCGGACATTCCGAGGATACAAATTCCATTGCAGAAAGAATCTTGTAGGTGTTGTTGGCGTAGGAGTCCACAAAATCAAACTGAACAATATCATGGTATTTTGTTTGCTCCAATTCCAAATTTTGCTGCAATACAGTTGATTCCCGACTGGCATTTTTGTCTTTGAGTTGACCGAGTAGAAACAAGGTTCGCGAAATCATCCCGGTTGATTTGGCACACATCGGATTACCCCAGCTGTTTCGTATCTGTTCACGTTGCGCAAAATTGCTATGGATTGATTTTACGAGAAAAAGTAATTCGGGTAAAGGTGATTCTTTGCATACGAGCCCATCATATAAGAGAGCCATGAATTTCGGCATCGTCCGAGGCGGAAGCTTGCTATCATCCTTTGTCCGTACCAGATCGTATATTTGAAATAGATTCATATCCGGAGGGTACTCAAAAGCATCAGGTGAACGAGCGAGAAGGTTGAGGTGATAACAAACGATCCACAGCGCGCAAATGATCAGTATTATCAAGCTGGGACGTCTGCGAATGCGCCAAGACATTCTTCGATTACTTTTTATCCAGGCGGCGTTTACATTCGTTTGCTTCTCCGCGCAATGTTGTGCATGAGCCAACCTGAAACAGGCAGGAAAAAAGATTAGTGCTTTAGCTTTTAAACAAAATCACCATCCTGTGCTTATAATCAACTGCAGATATGTCTCGAAAAGGAATTAAGACCTGACGAATTAACTGCAATTTTGTTCTACAAGTGAAATCTTGCTATGCGATAAATCGTAGCATGTGTTTCGCGCTTGCATGCAATTGTCCGCTGATGCACCTAACGAATGTTTGGGGGCATCTTGCTACTAGTAGCTTATCAGCATTTCTTTTGAACTGGAAAAGGGAAAATGGCAAAGTAATTCTTGGATGATTCAGTTATTTGCCTTTGGGAAGCAGACGACACGGAGACAACAAACAACCACTTTGATACCAGCTGGCGGCGTCAAAAAATGTGTAGGTCACTTTTTAAATAATTTATTTGCTTACCACTACCCCGGGCTTTGGCCATTACCGAGATAGAAGACGTTTAGCAGAAAGCTGTGACCAAATGGGACTGTCCCACAAGGGTATCTTTCCATGCTATTTATGCTTATGCCTAATGAGGCTGATAGTTCTACCAGTACCTTACAATCTCAAACAGCCATACTGAGTTGTGTAAGGATCTAATCTCTACTACGGGTACACTGCACCCTCTGAGCTTCGTAACACACAAGGATGACGGAAAGCAATAAATGAATCGTACAGCGGACATCCAAAGTTTGGATCACGAATTTCCGTTACAAAATTGATGACAGCACGAATAAATGAGCAGTTACATTATTTATGGCGTGTATTTTATTGTATCACTCCGAGTGTATAAAACGAAACACTCACGTAAATAGATATAACAGAAATGGACTTTTTACCATCGATAAACCAAATCCAAAGTAGCGCCAACGATCTGTTCTGTTTGCATAGTCCTGATGTTCATCTCCTGATAACAAGAGATTAAACAGCCTGCTGCACCTAACCGTTCGTGGTCCTTTGCAAGATAAGAAAAGCAGCTGCAAAGTAGACGGATCGTGCTTTTAAGTGAACTACGGACTGTAGATGAAATCGATATCCATCATAAGTGTGCATTCCGACTTAACTTCGTATCTGAGCTTCATTGGCCAGGTTGCTTAATACGCTGCTAAAATCGAAATGGTGATGTTTGGATCGAAACTGTCCTCTAATTTCGTCATGGCAGTTGGCCGAGAAATCACATGTGAACCGGTAAACGAAAGCGCGGATGGCGTACTGAGGCAGTGGAACTCCGAAAGTAAGGTTTACGAAAGTAGGGTTTGCGATTCGCGGTTCACTTATGGATGAATGCAGGTTTAGCAGATTAGAAGTTTTGTTGAACAGCTAAAGTTAAATGCTGCTACACCACTTCACTGATATGTCTGACCTAAAACCCAGATTCAGAAATACTTTTTGCCTCAAGAATCGTATAGATTTTCAATTTCCTCGGCCAAACCGTGCTTCACTTTTCACCAAAAACGTTCGAATGACCCAAGACCTCCAGGTATTCAATTTAGGCAATGATGCTGTCTCCCGATTATTTTTTGTTATATGGTATAACATCCTAACTAGAGACTTTTTCGGCATCGGCACAAACTTGAGAAATCCAGATGCTGACCGCTCCAATCTTACTTCTAGAAAATTGATCCCCGAAGTATTTTATTGTCAAGACCGGTCAATAGGAAGTACATATCAGAGATTTTTCTGTTCATTCCACGCTCGCCTGTTGATTTGTCGATTGCGTGAGTGGTGTTTGGTAAATGTAACAGCTCTGTTGTTTCTTGTATTGGTCTTTTGACCAATAATATATCCAATACATACCTTCGGTAGAATTCCATCCGTCCGGTGAGAACCCACACTCGCATTTAAATGCTAGATATTAGAAGGTAAAAACCATACGTGTCAAAAGAAGGAATCGATCGGATAGTTGGTACTGCCTTAATGATTGACTTCACTTTGAAATCCAGACGACAGTGATGGCGAAGTAGACTCATTTACACACCGATTGGGAATTCAAGGGAGATTCACCCGAATATATCGTTTGTTCTTCAGCTCTGTTTTGCACCAGGTGACCCCATGTTTCAGCTGGTGCAATAACCCAATATTTTACAACATTGTCTAGAATTAACATACTATTCATAAGGTTACTGAAAACTACTCGACAATCCACGAACTGTTTCGCGCTTTTTGAGGGCCGGCGGGCCAGTGCATTCACCGAGTTCCCATCGTCCGTGTGTTTCGTTGGAAACCAAGTCGCAGTAACGTTGCAATTTGGTCTCCCATAGACACTCAACGTCCTTCGAAGTCAAAGCAACATCTAAACTCATCTTCGACGTCACAGCGATCGATGCCTCTGATGAAGACAACGATTGTGATCTCACTCGGTCGACTATATAATCAAATCGGACTTCCGTATTACTGACCAACCCAGCCAGAGGAAAACAGTTTGTACACGGCAACCTGGCAATCCGGTGGATGAGAGCAATGCTTCAGGTCGGATGTAAATTAATAGTAACTTTCAATAATCCACCAGTCTGTTCATCATCATCATTGTCAGCTGTAATAACCGCGTACACGTCGCACAGTGGTTGTATCTGCCTCAGTTTCGTTCACTGATGATTTTGGGGGGTGAGGTAGGTAGCGTTGAAGTTGGGAGCGTGAATACAGCACTGTAGGTGGGGGAATTGGGAAGGGATCTATCCATTAAAGGCATTAAAGATTGGATTCATGAGCGCCATTGAGAGCGCGACTAGACCATGTCTGACAGTGTCTCTAACCGTTGATATGGCCCGTCTCGAGGTCCCTATCCAGGAAGACGGCAATGACCAACACCGCTAAGTTTGCTGGTTGGTCTGCTGCTGTTGAGCTTTTATAATTCGCTGCCAAGTCACCGTTTGACCGCCTATGGCTCTCTTCCACCCTTCAATTGGTTGTGCGAAGGAAGCCCTTCGAGGAAGGCGGTTGACTGGCATACGCAGCACGCGGCCAAGCCAGCGCAACCTATGCAGTGCGATCAGTTCATCTATCGAGGGTGAGTTATTTTTCCCAAATGCCATTCAGTTAGTTAGCTCGAAAGCTTTGTCCCCGAAACGAAACTCTGCTCATCAGATTGTTTGTCAAGCCATTCATAATGAATGAGCTCTTGGTCGTTTCGAAATACTGTTCCGTGTCAATGCTGGTCGCATTGATATCGATTTTGATAGTCTATCCGTCCGGTAAGCGAGATATCGACGGTTCCAGCCAATCTGTATGCTTATTTTCTTGCTGACGCTATATTTGGCCAGAAAAAACTATTATTAGGAAGAAATATTTTAAATCTAGACGTGCTCGTAAGAATGAAGAAATAATATTTGCTAGCCATGTAACGGTTTTGTTCAGGTAAATGTGTCCGATATGAATCAAGGACACGTGTTCTGTTGTTCGTTGTAGTGTTTTATTCATCAAAGCATCTAGTTGCATGCGCAGGTGGGCACGATAAAAAGGGTGTAGTTGCAGAGAATCACCTTCTTGGTAGCTCAGCCCACAGCTCCAGCTAATATCCCAGTTGTTCCCTCAAAAAAATTGTTTCTGAAACAACTTTCATGCAAGTGCATTCAGTATCATTGGTAGGTGTTTACGAAACGTCTAGTGTCAAGAAATCGATCTCGTATTTCTTGAAGGTTTCTTAATTTGACGCATTCAAACTCTCATTCATATTTATTCATAGATGAACAGAACGAATGCATTACTTCAACCATCGCATGGTGCCAGTCGGAAAGTTTGTACATGCCTGAGGGAAGTACCGAGGAAGGGGAGCAATAGTATGCAGCAACTGAGGCCATCGACCCCATGATCCTGTACGCTCACTTTTCTTCCCTGCAAAATCATACTTAAACAAATTTCCGCAATTCCGATGTTCAAACAGACTGCGCTGCCCACCTTTCTTCCGCAACATATGAAACTTTTACCTGACTGGGTTCATTAGCAAACGCATGAAACAAAAAAAAATTTCACACTATCCAAAAACTTGGATCTAAATAGAGCAGGTTTGAAAACTTAAGGCAAATTTTACAGAGGAGTATGGCATCTACTTAGTATATTCGCTGAATAAGAGGAGGGTTGAAATTCTGTACACGGATCTTGCTGGCCGCTCCCCGTTTGAATGAAATATGGGTGATGCTAAACTAATAAACATGTTGGGTGTAAACAAAAGGTAGAATTGACTGTACTAAATAATCATTTTGCTGGTTGTGACAAAAAGCGCACTGTGTTTTAACATTTTTCGCAGAAACTGCATTAATTTGTAGTCTCAAGGTTTTCGTCCATAATAAATAGATTGAATACACCATTATCCCTTTAGATCGGTTTGTTCATCCATTTTTGAGTTTATTATTCCAAAGTCTTTTCCGGTGAAATAAGCAAGTTTTATCGAGAACGGGTGTCCGGTTGCAGTGGTTACCAGATGATTCGACTGAGAACATTGTGGGACCGCCGATATCATTCTAATGCAACAAAGTCTAACTCAAAAGCAGTTTAAAGCAGATCTGTGGCTCTGTAGGTTGCCCAGCAACCTCGGAAATGTGTCATCACCCCTAACATTGAAAGTCACGTTAATCAAAGAGTATAATGGTATCCTAAGAAACCTAACCCCACCGATTCGCACTTCTTTCCGGAACCTTATATGGAATACATTAGTTCAAAATTCAGTCAACTACGCCACCTACGATCCTTACTGCTTCCTTTAGTAGAGTTTTGTGGTTTATTGTTTCGGGATAAAACGTACATATTGCGAGGCTCAGAGACAAAGCTTAGTTTAAAATGAACTGAATTAATATAACAGGATCTCATGTAAAACACT